GGGCTCCTCTCGAACGTCTTAACAGCATCATACTGGATGTGGATGACTCTTCCAAGCACTTAAGCTGGTTTGAATTTTTACAAACATTTGTGTTGATATGTAGGTTTTAAAATAAATAATAATAAACACAATGTTGTTGTCAATAGCTTATCAGACATGCTTTCGTTCTTTTTTAAACACAGAAACAGTTTTGTTTACCTGTTTGTAGCTACGGTTTCGCCGACAGCTGCCGGCTTCTTCAGGCTGACGCTGATGGTGGCGCGTCACTTCCTTCTCCGTTTATCTGCGGGCAGCAGAGGACGTTGTCGCCCTCTACTGCCCGCTCTCCCCTCTCCGACAATGCAGTCCCATGCGTGGTCCAGCATGTAAACTCCGTCGTCCCTGTTCATGGTCCCACATCCACGTCTCCTTATCTCTATTGCTTCCTTGATCCATCTTTTGTATTTTTGTTGTTCAGTGGTTATGATCCGTGTGCTGTCCCAGTCCATTATATGGTTTTCTCTTAAGCAATGTTCTGTTACGGCTGACTTTTTTATTGTACTTTCTGCTTCTTCTTTTGCTGCTCTTGTGTGTTTACGATTTGCCTCTTTCTCGCACTCCTTTCTGTGTTCTATTGTCCGTGTGTTGAGTTGGCGTCCAGTTTCTCCTATGTATGTTTTATTGCATATTTTGCATGGGATTTCGTAGATGACTCCACATTTTTGTCCAGCTGATATTTTGTCTTTTGGGTGTACTAATCTGTTTCTAACTGTTGTGTATGGCTTTGTTGGTGTGTTTATGTTGTGTTTTTTCATTGTTGCTCTTATTTTTTCCGTTAAGCCTCTGATGTATGGTAGGGTTATCGCTGGTTTTGGTTCTTGTCTTTCTGGGTTTCTGGTTCTTTTTTTGGGTTGTTCTTTGCTTTCTGTTTTTGTTTGTTGTTTTCCTTTGTTTATTGCCCATGTCGGGTATCTGCAGGTCTTTAAAGCGTGTTGTATGTGTTTGTCCTCTTGTTTACGGTCTCTCTCTTCTGTTATTATGTTTGCTCGGTGATATAATGTTCTGATTACTGACATTTTGTGTATGGTGGGGTATTCTGATGTCCATAATAAATATTGGTCTGTGTGTGTTGGTTTCCTGTATGTGTTTATGTTTAGGGTCCCGTCGGTCTGCCTGGTGATTTTCATGTCCTTAAATGCTATGCTGCCTTCTGTTTCTGTCTCATATGTGAACTTTATGTTGCCCGTGTCGTCAATATTGTTTAAGTGTTGTGTTAGTGTTTCTGTTTGACCTTTTGGTATGATTTCCAGTATGTCGTCTACGTAGCGTTTCCATAGTTTTATTTTGCAGTTTGGGGGGGCGGTGGCTATGGCTTTTTGTTCCAGGTCTTCCATAAAAAACTCGCACAGGGTGGCTGATAACGGGTTACCCATGGCGAAGCCTTCCAGTTGTTTGTATATTGTGTTGGATTTACAAAGACACAGCAAGAACACACCTAAGATGCAGAGAGCTGGTATCAGCTGAATAAATTGTAAATGTTTGTGGAAACACATGAAAGTGTGGACACATCTCTATTCATTTACTCTTTGTTTGTGACCCACTGTGCTCATCCTTTATTGGCAGACTCAATGAAAACACTGAAAAGTAGTATTAACTCAAAAGCGCCTCAAGGCTGATATTGATTGAGCAACAGAATTCAGAAACCATCATCCATTATCCATCCGTTTTCAGCCGCTTATGTGGAGTGGGGTTGCGGGGGCAGCAGTCTAAGTCGAGACGCCCAGACATGCCTCTCCCCAGCTACTTGAGACAGCTCTTCTGGGGAAATCTCAAGGCGTTCCCTGGCCAGCCGAGAGACGCAGTCCCTCCAGCTTGTCTTGGGTCTTTCCTTGGGTCTCCTCCCAGTTCAATGTGCGTGGAAATCCTCACCAAGGAGGCATCCTGACCAGATGCCCGAGCCACCTCAACTGGCTCCTCTCAATGTGAAGGAGCAGCAGGTCTACTCTGAGCCCCTCCCGGATGACCAAGCTTCTCAACCTATCTCTAAGATAGAGCCCAGACACTTTGCGGAGAAAACTCATTTCAGTTGCTTGTACCCGCAATCACGTTCTTTCGGTCACTACCCAAAGCTCGTGACCATAGGTGAGGGTAGGAACGTAGATCGACCGGTAAATCAAGAGCTTTGCCTTCTGACTCAGCTCTCTCTTCACCACGACAGATTGGTACAGCTCCCGCATCACTGCAGATGCAGAACCAGTCCGCCTATCGATCTCATGCTCCGGTTTTCCCACACTTGTGAACAAGACCCCGAGATACTTAAACTCCTCAACTTGAGGCAGGTTCTCATCCCTGACCCGAAGAAGGCATTCTACCCTTTTCTGATTTAAAACCGTGGTCTCGGATTTAGAGGAGCTGATTCTCATCCCAGCTATTTCACACTTGGCTGCAAACCACTCCAGTGAAAACTGGAGGTCGCTGTCTCATGAAGCCAACAGGACCACATCATCTGCAAAAAGCAGAGACCTGATCCTTGGGCCACCAATCACATCCCTTCAACATCTTGGCTGCACCTAGAAATCCCATTCATAAAAGTGATGAACAGAATCGATGATAAAGGGCAGCCTTGGCGGAGTCAGAAAAAGTCAAGTAATATGTATATATATATATATATATATATATATATATATATATATATATATATATAAACAAAATTAGCCATCTTCAGTTTCAGTTTAGACTTAATTTAACCAGAGTTCAGGCCACATCCAGACGTTCTGGAGCCATTTTTCCAGGATGTTGGTAACACAAAATATTAATTGTTCCTTTTCACTCCTTGAGAGCTTCAAAAGCATTGTATTTTTATGTCTGAGACGTTTTTATATGTAGATCTTAGACGTTAGACGAAAATGTGTGTAGAATCACACAGCCACCAAAAAGAACAACTCCAGTTTTTTTTCTCCTAGAATCCCAAAGACAGAACTAAGAAGGTCTTCTTTCGTTGTTCACCATCTTGGGAGCGCATGCACCAAAAACTTTAATGCAGAGATCATAGCTGTCCAGGTGGTCTTCACAAGTTGCTTTGTCTCCTCTGCTGGTGAAGAGCAAAAAACCAAAGGCTTATGTGCTCAGCTGCCTCTTTCCTCCTCAGCAGAGAGAGTTCTCAGGGTCGGGGTGAAACTCAACAAACAGAGCCTCTCCTTGAGTGATCGTTGAGTGATTTCACCACCTGATTCATTCTTAGAGATGCCGTCATGTCTTCGCTGCTTTCTTTATGTGGAGCCAGGCTTGCTATTCTGGTCTGTGAACTGAGAAGAATCTGAGGGGTGTGGGTCAAGGGTGAGAGAGTCAGGAGAATAGTGAGCTAGTTGAGTACAGGGGTAAAGGTGTGTGAGTCACACACATTTCTAGGTGATGGTTGCATCTTGGGACTGAAACAGCTTTCCTCTGATAATTGGGACATGTTGGGGAGAGGCTATGAGGCTCAAGGAAGCTCATTTTCGTTTATTCCTTTCTTTATCTCTACCAGAGGTTTTCCTTTCTAATGGTTTAATTTACATGTTATTTAATGAGCCATAAGACAGTATTCCATAGCAAATATGAAATCAACCTCATGGATCTGTAGGTACTGTTTAACCAGAAGATTGGAACTTTTTATTGCAGGGATTATGTAACAACTTCGTGTTAACTCAGAGACAACAGAAGAGAGAGTCAAGTTTAAAAGTTTAAAGATTTATTACTAAACAAATTAAAACTAGACTAACTTAAACACTAAATGTATGGTGTAACTAAGGTGAATGAGATGGATAAAGGTGTGTGGAATGTTGCTCAGAACCAGCAAATCCGAAGAAACGATTAGTTCTGGTGGGAAGTGAAGGTGATGTCTTCGCGCTAAGCTTTATTAGGAGATTCATAAACATATTCGAAGCCATTCCATCAGTCTATGTACCCTTAGCAGAAGTCCCCGTCTAGATGAGGAGGTGTAGAGGCCCAGCTTGACCTTTATGGAGCCGAAGCCTGTAAAAACAGCCGCGGCAGCCGACCACCTGTCTTGAGATACTTCCGGGTCATGACAGTTTTGTTGGCATCTAGCGAGACCCAAAACTGGGTCGTGATGGTTCAGCTTTTATTCTGAAAGGGACCATTGCAGCAGTTGGAACAGCAACAGATTTTATCCAGCTTGCCATTGGTACTTTTGGCTGAAGAGGAAAGTTATGGATTGGCCACTCCGACAACTTCTCTAGAGCGCTTTGAACTGGCGTTAAAGATGACGTGGTCATAGTTTTATACTTCGGATGTTTTGGTTTATGGTCTAATGAAAAGATGACAGATTCACCAAGCACCACCCAAATCACGCCTCCGTCAGATCTGGCAGATTCTGACTGGATCAGTAAAAGCAATGTGTCATGTCTTAACGCTACGTGAGATCAGTCCTAGTGGAACATTTAAAGTCATATTACTTATTATATTCTATAGGATTATAATAAAGTAATTAATATTTTGATTTCACAGATTGGTCACATCTTATTATTGAGTAACACTTTGTTTGATTAGCTTTATTAAAAATAGAGTTCTTTGATTTATTAAAAGGAGAAGCAGTTTAGAAGCAAATGCATGAGACCTTGAGGCAATAGCTCATGCAGACTAGTTCTGTGTCAGAGGAGAGGGGAAAAATGACTTTTGGTGGAAAACAGTCATTTCATTCCGTTACACCTTCCCATGCAATACAAATGACTTTAGGAATCTATTGGAATGTCTCCTATTTGTTTCACAGCTAGTATTTGATGGAGGGATTATAAAGCAGGGAATGGTATGAAATCCTAAAACGGAGATGTGAGGTGTCACTGAGGACAGGGATGGACAGCTGGACCATACCTCTCTGACCCAACCTTGGATAGGAAAATTGATCAATAGTTAGATTAATGAACTAATTTTGAGTTTTTATCTATCATTTACCACAATAGGTCCAATTTGAGGACCCGACAAGTAAATTTGTTTGCTGAAAGAACCAGAAGCTACACTCATACTTCCTCATTTGCCCATTTCTTTTATTTTCTTAGACATCTACATTTAAAACACATTTGGTAAATAACAACAATTTGGCAAAAGAAAAAATAATAATTTCTCACATAATGACTGACTCACTGATTGTTCCAGTAAACTTGCAGAATTTGTGTATTTCGGGATAAATCACGCACATGGATTTAGTCCCACTCAGTGTATAAAACTAAAGTCGCACCTGGAAAAAAATCTAGGTGTTCTCTGTAGTCCTGGAGCGCACTTATTATATCAGACAGGGACGGTGATCATCATGATCATCATGTTTGTTTTTGTGCAAAAGACGGAAGAAAGTCAGATCAGACAGTCAACATTCATTAAAAAAAGAAAACTTTTGCTCCTGTCACCTTTGGACAAGAAAGTTTAGTTTTTGTAAAGAGAGAGGACTTTACTTATGGACCCATGAACAAAAGTTTCATAGTTTTATACACCAGGGCAGGTCGGAGGTCATGATTTTGAACTTAAAACAGCTCCTTTAAGACAAACAAAAGCACAGTGAGTCACACAACCTAGCACAAATAAAGGTGCCCTAAATATCTCCGCTGAATTTTGGCACAACCCTCTCAGTTCCAGACATGCCAGTAGGATTAACGCCTGATACAAAACTCGTTAAATGTAAAAATACCCCATTTCCCAGCGCTACAAGCATTGATTCTGCTGCTGTTTTTCCACTTAAAGTGTCGTTAACTTTCACATTATCTCAAAGCCTCTTGAGGCACCAAAAGTTACTCACAAAGATACAGTGGACTCACATTCACCTCCATACAACACCTGCATGAGATTTGAACTTGTAAAATATTTACAGCACACTTTGTTTTTCTTCTAATGATTTTTTTAGAGCTCCATACAGTCATTCTTTTTTCAATTAGCAGTCATGTTTGATCCAGCTGACGCCGTCGGTCGGTTGTAGTGATCTTATGGCGTGTCAGGACCAGATTCAATGAGTGAACTGATTTGATCTTACTTCACCTCATGGCCCTCTAGACAGTCAAGTAATATTACAGTCATCAGCAGAAATATGGACAGGAAGCCATTGGCTCATCTTGCATAAAATGTTTGTGATTTTGCTCAAAAACTTTTTTTTAGAAAACCACGAAAATTATTTGGTTAAATCACAAAAAAATAAATCAATGATGCAACATAACTGAATATCCAAAGCATGTGTGGTCCTAAACAATAAAATCACAATGCATGCACTTTTGCATGGATGAATTAAAGATGCAAACCCATTTTAACTTAGAAATCTTAATCAAATAATCATTTACTTTATCTTCTTTTAGAATATTTATGGAAAGATATTATGTTGAAAGGAAATATTTGAAAAAAAAAACAACATTACCGAAAACTGAGAAGGAAACGTGGGAGCTTCATTTTAGTGCACTGCTTCTCCGCTCTGTATTGTTTCATCATCCAGATGGTATCCAAATCAAATATGGCACAGGTGAAGATGAGCAATTCACAACCCGATTAATCAGTAACCTCCTCCTCAAAGGACAACGACTGTTACTGAAGAATGTAATGGGGTAATGCCCTCGACAGCCAGAAAATACAACGACTGTCAGTCTAACTTTACATAATCAGGTATCAGCTGGATCAGCAGTGCAAGTTAAAACTTAGAAAATATTCAACAAAAAGACAGAATTAAAAAAATAATGAGCATCACCCTATTTACCCAACTTCACATTTTCATTGCACTGCATAGGTGACTGCATCGCTACCACAGATGAGATGTATTTATATTTTTATAATGCCTCATTTAAATTTTACACCTTCTTTAAATTTCTGTTTGTCTTCTTCATGAGCTGCCACATTTTATATGTGCTGTAGACCACTTCATTAAAACATGATGAGGAGTACCATCAACCCCAATACCACTTGTTAAGGTCATTGAATGCCTTGTACTCCCTGTGCCTTCTCAGGTAATCACACACCTGGCATGTGTGCTCTGCCCAGAATTGGGCTCTCTTCACTTTAAAGTGCCGCCTCCACTCAAAGTATCGGAGGTACATTTCCTCATTCTTGTCCAGGAGCAGCAGGTACTCCGCCAGCTCCTTGGCTGAAGCAAAGTCGTCCACGTGGATAAAAGCGTCCCCTTGGATAAAGTTTTCATAGTTCTGCCTGGATGTGCCAAGAACTACTGGTACTGTCCCCACAGAGAGCGGGACATATAGTTTTTCTGTGATATAGTCCTTGTGGATAGAGTTCTCAAAAGACAAATAGAACTTACAGCTAGCCATGGTGGGGATGTAGTCCTGGTCAGAGACATGTTCTCCAAAGGCTTGTCCGTACGCATGAACCTCAATGTGTTTGTACAACTCATTGTAATATTTTACCCGGGCATGCTCTGGGTTCCAGTTACTTACAATCCAGCAGAGCAGTTTGTTTTTGCTCGGTGGCACAAAGTCCTCCTCGGTCTCTGCTGCTACGATGCTCCCATAAGGCACTTCAATGTCAGAATCCTGGCGGTAGTTGAGAGTCAGGTTGAATAAGTTGTTGATCTCAGGCAGCTGGGGTGAATGCGATGGTGACTCTAAGTTCATCCACACCCATTTCTGGAATGGTGGTCGTTGTTGGGTTGGCAGGTTGGAGATGTCTCTGGCGATGTCTCGGTGATGAATGACGACCCCATCTGATCTGTTGTAGAGGTTCCTGTCTGCTGTGATGAAGCAACCTTCGATGTTGAAGGCGGAGCTGCAGACATTTAGGTCATAAGTTTGTCCAAAAGGCCAAAGCCAGACCAGCACAATTGTCAAGTTTTTATTGTTCTTTGTGGAGAAGAGAGTCTTGACTTGGTCTGTGGAAACTGTTGACTCTACTGGACCATATATCCAGCCGGTGGACGGCTTAAAATACATCAGAAAGACAGTCACAAAGCATCCCAGAACAAAAATAGTGATCAGAAGGGGACGCAGGATTTTGTTTGTAGTAGTAGATAACATACTCTGACCTGCAAAAAGCACACGAAAGAGAAAAAACTAGATTAAAGTCATGGTCAAAAAACCCAACAATACTATAATAACGTATTAATGTCAAGACTTTACCAAAAGTTTAATAGTAATTCCATTTTAGATCTCTAACTTTCATTGGTATAGTTTCCTTATTCCACAGACCTGGTTTTGACTGTATGATGGAATCCACACAATCTCCTTTAAGGTTCAAAGCTCACAGAAGACATCTTCAGATGCTTCTTGACTCTTAAGGAGTACGATGAAGCGCTCATGTGGTGTTGTTGATCTGGCATTGGCTGATCTTACTAATGATACCTCCTGTACATGAACAGAAAAAATGAAAATGGAAAGAAATGTGTTTAAATAAGGAGAAATAATTTAATTATGGCACTGGAAACCAGTACCACATCTCCTAAAAGATGCATCTGCAACAAAAGCCAGAAACCTGGACCACTGGAACTCTGCATTTTCAACCTCCCTTATGATTCATGAATGATGCATTTTTTTGTAGCACCAACCATTGATGGAACACATGACTAATTCAAATCAGTCATCTCCATTGACACATTTATTTTTAATTCAACACAGAAGGGGCAGATACACTGAATGCTGTGACTTTCAGTTCTGAGAAAGAAATTGGAATCTGCCAAAACTGGAATTAGCGTCTCAGAGTTTTACAAAAATAGAAAACATGAAGTGGCCCAGAAATATGCTATCAGTGCATCTCTACCAAGGACACGCTGTATCCCATCTTCCAGCAGGACCACCGAAATCAAATCACTATTTATTTTTACCTGCACTTAAATTGACCTTTAAAATCTGTGTAGCTATGACGACGGAGAATATGCCAACTCATTTGGCGAGAGTGAACATACCCTGATTAAAAAACAGCCTCTGTACTTCAGCTCCAACTCTTTAATTTTCCATCGAAATTCTTTGAGATTTAAGTCCGACTCGTTGTAACCAGATGTTCCAGATGTAAGAGACACACGTGCTAGTAAAAAGACAATAGTAATAGTCCAAATTTCACAAATAAAACTGATGACAAGGCATGTGGGGTCTACTGTATATTTACACATCATGACTGTTGGGCACCAGAGAGAAGAGGACTCGTCATAAAATGTTGTGCACCAATTTTCCAAGTTCAGAGGCACGGATTATAAAACAGAGGGCACAATTAATAAGGGGACAAAGAGATTTGGATTGAGCTCAGGGAACAATAATCTGTGATTGTTCCACAGCTGCTATTTTCAAAGAAATAAACAGAAAACACAATACGACAGAACTGGACTTAATACTCCGATGTACTGGGAAGAAAATGTATGTGTCAAATGACTTAATTTCCCTAACATAACATCTACTTGGGACTTCACTGGAAATGAAGCAGCTACGAGGCTTATCTTCCATTACAGGAAAAAGAGATCAAAGACAATTATGTTGACCATCATTGTTTAAACATCAATAGACTACTTCTGTATTTGTGAAGACATTGTAATTTTTTATGTCAAGAGATATCAGCCATTGTTCTCTCCTCCAAAGCCTCGCCAATTGGCGTATCACTGCACTGTGCCACAGCAACCAAATGTATTCCCATTATTTAGGCATGTGTCCTTTGGGTGTCATCTCAGGTTTTGAATATTGCTTTGCACGTTAGCTAGCAAGACTAATCCTTTGTGAGAGAAGCTTTCAAACCTCAGGATGCACCATGAAAACGCGTTTTGTTTGATGCATTGGCTTCTTCCACCTCTGTGATTATCTGGGATCATACTGTCTGCAGAATTGGATATATTTAATTTAGTGATAGCTAAAGGGAAGTGTGTGTTTACACTTTTCATGAACTAATTTAGTGGGAAATCCAAAATGGAGTAATTGGATCTTGAGGCAGCTCGGTTTAAGACTAAAAGAAACAGAATCAGCCCAATAAAAGCATTGTTAGTCACTAAATAAAGACGTTGATGTTTTTGCAATTACAGTAATGTAGACAAAAAAAGTTCACCTTTTTTATTGTTTATACGATATTCATTATTAACAATTAAAGGAGCAGTGTGTAAGAATAAATGAAGATGACATTCTGTGGTAAAATTTGGTTACTGCATTCACTCATTCCTGTTTCGTGAGTTTCGTGGCAGCTGTCACTTACAGATAAGCACCAGAAAATTCTAGATTACAAGTTTTATGGTAGTGAGCATACATTCGTTATGGTAATATACCTTCAGCATAGAGGAAGTGTGGTTTTATAGTCTTGCTGGTAGCTTGCTGTTGTTGTTCTGAATGAATCATTTAAGGAAGGAAAAAATTTGACTCATTGTTCACTTCACACTCACACACACACACACACACACACACACACACACACACACACACACACACACACACACACACACACACACACATTTCACTGTAATATCAAGTTGGTAATTGAAAAAGTAGCTTGAGATATTTTTTATACCTTGTCATCATTAGCATTGTTAGCTCAATGTTAGCATGGTTATTATCTGATATTAGAGTAAAACAAAATGATGCCGTGACTTCTTGTGGTAAAATAAATAACTTCTGGGTCGCTCTTGTTACTGTCTTTGGTTCTTTAAACAACTCTGATGCTTTTTGCTGGCTGAAGATTAATTAAAAATGGCGGCGCTGCAGCGTTAGCTTGCAGAAAACACAGCAACCCCACCAGAGCTGCCAACTGTAACGCACTGAGCATGACACACGCATGTGACCCTCTTCACACGCTCTCACGCCACACCTCCAATCTCTCATGCTAAACCAGTGCCTGCGCTCCCCAAACGTGTATCACGCACAGTGTGTAGGGCTTACGAAAAATAAAAACAGATGATATTAATTATAGCGCTACTGAACAACATGCACACAAACAACACTTAAGTAATAATTTAACTGGCGTTATTTCACACACAGAATCCCATCTGTATAATCCAAGCCAATGTGCTTTTTTCCGCTCTGGTTGTGAGATGGGCGGAGTGGTGAGCTCCACCTGCTGTTGATGGGATGGGCCAGGTTCTCCCAGAACCGTGAGCTGCAGCTGCCCGCCACCATGACATGCTTTATTTAGAAATGCAGCCGTGTCACCAGCCGGTGTTGACGGAGCTTCAGTCCCGAATGTTTCTCTTTTGTTTTCACTCATCAGTCACAGATCGCTTGCTCACAGCAAGCTAGTCTTTCTACCGTGGCTACTCACTCACATGTTCCCTCTCCTACATTAGTTGGTGACGTGGTGAATTCAAACATTAGGAATCCTAATATTTTAATGTTTTAATTCACCACTTCACCCGTGTGTTTTTCCTGTTTGTGAGACGAACCCCTCCTTCATAACCAGGTAACAGGAACGGAAGCCTGGAAGGGCCAAAATTCCTCAAAATTTTTTCTACTGCTGATATGAAATACATATGATAGAACTGAGTACATTTTATTAGTCCCACAGAGGGGACATTAACTCACAGCAGCACACACACATAGAGAAACAGATTACAGGTAAAACTGATTCCAGCCATGTTTGCTTTGTTATCTTCAATAACTTCATGCTGATGACCCACATGAACACAATCCTGTGTAGTGGATGCAACTACATCATGAAGTTAGCGTAACATGATAGATTTTTTTTCTTTGCAGGAAATAATAACTGGTAATATTATGAATGACATGATATTGCCCACCCCTAGATGGAAATTTAAATAATGTACATTAATTATAATTAAAAGTTCCTGTGTGACATGTATCTGTAACTCTTTACTGCAGATAGATAGATAGATAGATAGATAGATAGATAGATAGATAGATAGATAGATAGATAGATAGATAGATAGATAGATAGATAGATAGATAGATAGATAGATAGATAGATAGATAGATAGATAGATAGATAGATAGATAGAATGATGATAGATAGATAGATAGATAGATAGATAGATAGATAGATAGATAGATAGATAGATAGATAGATAGATAGATAGATAGATAGATAGATAGATAGATAGATAGATAGATAGATAGATAGATAGATAGATAGATAGATAGATAGATAGAGAGAGAGAGAGAGAGAGAGAGAGAGAGAGAGAGAGATAGATAGATAGATAGATAGATAGATAGATAGATAGATAGATAGATAGATAGATAGATAGATAGATAGATAGATAGATAGATAGATAGATAGATAGATAGATAGATGATAGATAGATAGATAGATAGATAGATAGATAGATAGATAGATAGATAGATAGATAGATAGATAGATAGATAGATAGATAGATAGATAGATAATGTGAAGAAGTTCAGGAGAGTTGGATGTTAAATTTTCCACACGAAAAGAAAATTTGTATTAAAAAAGGTCAGTTCCCTCTGTAAAGTCTGAGGTACAGAAGAGGATTAGGGCCACTGAAAAGGGAAAAAGAAAAGAAACAGAATTCTGACTTTTTCCCCAGAATTCCCTGTCAGAATTCTGAGATTAAAAGTCAGAATTCTGAGAAAAAAGTAAGAATTCTCTTTTCTTATTATTATTTTTTTCTTGTCAGTGGCTCTAATCCTCTTCGGTACAGAGTAGTATTATTATAAAATGCTAAAAAGAAAGTCGTATGTTCTTTAGATCCAATAATTCCAAACAAATTGGTGAAAGGAAATAATGCACACCCAAAAAGAAAAAGCTTCAGTCGAAGCAAGTTCATTTGAAAATAAAGACATAAATAAACATTGAAATGAATTAAAATAGAAAATGATTAAAAAAAGGTTGCAGATGACACCAGCAGGCCCTTCTTTTGGCAGACATGCTGGTAATTTAAAAAATTAGGAAAAGTACATGTTTACAAGGTTGCATGCTGGCTCTTCATTAAAAATGTTAATACATGTTTGCATTTAAGCAAACAATGTCTGCTGTGACATATGTCAACCGGTTTTGCAGACTCGGTATTTAAAGCTGCAACCTTGAAATCTGAGATTAAATACTAGATGTGTACAGGTGTGGTCCTCTATATACATAAACTGCTTTGTTTTACGAGAGGCAGCGCACAGGTGTCAGCAGGTGAGAACTGTTTGGTTTGTCTTACCCTCTTTGGCTCTGAAGGAGGACCAGGAAGATGAAGGCTGGTTTTTAAAATGTCCAGTGAGATGATGACAACTCCCCTGCTCTTGGAAAGGTTTGTCTTTTGGAGACAGTGTGGAGGGTGGCAGTCTGTCAGTCTGGATTTTTGAATGTTCATTCTTACCGCCGTCTACACCCCAGAGGAAACAGATCAAGGTGTGGTGGGACCATCGGACAGGAACGCCTCTTTGTCACCTTGGAAAACAGAAAATGTAAAATGAGATCCCGGTGAGAGAAACTGGTTGATTTAGTTTTTTTCTTAATCAGACGTTCATTCAAAGACAAAACAGTTGTTTCTTCACAGCAACAAAAAAACAATGGATCAACTTCCGTAAATTTGTAACACATTTTAACACGCTTATCTGCATGCACCACACACACACACACACACACACACACACACACACACACACACACACAGAGAGAGAGAGAGAGAGAGAGAGAGAGAGAGTTTTGCATTTATCTTAACCTAAATGTGAGACCGGATTGACTAAGACCGTGTCCGATGCATCACTCACACACACACATGCTCACACTCTTCTACAACATAAGAACTAAAGGCATCTTTTAAAATTCACTAAAATTCCTCATTACAATCTAAACTTTTTGTTGAAAAGCTCTTAAAAACTACAGAAAAAGCAACAGATTTTTGCATGACAAAACACACACAGGAGCAGGTTAGAGCTTGACTGAAACAGGAAATCAAACGATCCAAGCTGAAATCTGAGTCCTGTGCCATCTTTCTGAGAAGAGTACTACAGCCCTCCCCGCCTCCAGAAAACTGATAACCCTTGTCCTATCTGTCACACGCTTCACTATAATAATGCTCCTTATTGTAATCTCTGGTATGGTCTGGTATGTTTTAGTTTAACTACTTGGCAAAGACTGTGTCACTCACAGAAAGTATAAATAAATAAATAAATAAATAAATAAATAAATAGATATGAGATTAATTACTTCAAACGACTTCTCTAATTTTATTAAATGTTTTGTTTCAAGTTGAAGTACAATTGCCATCCTGTGGTCAACTTTGGGTACTGCAGTCCATTTTCAAACCAACAAGTGACTCACCCTCATTCTATGAGTTTCATGGCTGTTACCATTTACAGATTAGTACCACAATATGATGAGTCATACACAGATAAATGTGTTTCACTATAACATCAAATTATTGGTCACTGAAAAAGTAACGAGACATTTTTAGAGCTGGATGTATGTTGCTAATTCATTGCTAGCATTGTTAGCTCAAAGTTAGCATCTAGCCTTCATCATCAAATATTAGAGTAAAACAAAGAATACTGAGGCTACTTAGGGGTACAATAAATAACTTCTGGGCTGCTCCGTTTACTGGCTGACATACTGTCCACAACTCTAAAGCTTTTTGCCAGCCAGTGTCCAATAGGGAGCCTAAAGGTTGGTTTATGCTTGACGCGTCCGCGAGGTCCGCACGGCTCCGCGCGGAAAAGTTGCGTCATTTTGCGTCATTTTAACAACCACGCCCCTCCACTGCGTCTCCGCACGGCCCAGAATTTCCGCAACGCGCACCTCGGAAAATTTCTAACCACGCGGACGGTCGGACGAGGAAAAACATGGCGGACCGGCACGGCAGAGGTTCGTAAATACAGACATTTGTATGATTCAGCTCTCAGAGATCACCGTGATCAACATGTTGTTAATAATTCTTGGAGAGAAATAGCTCACACTGTCGGAAAAGACGAGAACGCTGTTAAAAATGCTGAAATACCATGTTGTAAACAGTGATTTCTACTTCTACTATGGTGTAGTGTTGGATGCATGCTGTAGAGCTCCATGCTGCCCCCTACAGTTTGGGAGAATATTGGCTCACCGCAGAGACGAGCCGCACAAACCATGAACGCTGCGAGATGTGAAGCGCGTTCCAGCCGCGAGCCGCATCACCGCGCGGAAAGTGAATGCGTCAAGCATAAACCAAGCTTTAGTCTCCGCCCTTTTCGGTCGGCTCATGGGTACCCAAAAGAACGAAAAAATGACTGCAAGTCAACGGGGCTAAAAAGGCTATTTTCTAATCCACTTTGCCTTACACCCTGGATCACACATATGTTGTACTGCTATTTAAATGAAAACTAATGATGGGTGTTTCGACCATGTCTGCCATGTACTTGTAGATTAATCGGCTTGTAAAAGTTTATAATTCGCATGAGTACAAATTAGACATCAGCACATTGCATATGTGACGTCACCACAGAATCTCCTCTCCCCTAGCGTAGCTGCTACTTACCAAATGGCCAGATTTATGGTGGTTCTTTCCTTCTGAAGGAAGGATTTGAAGTTTACTGAACTTACAGCCATTTTCACTCTGTTTTTCTCCATTTAGTTTGATGACATCTTTCATGATGCGTATTTGTAGTCGTGGACTTATTTTCACAGAAAACTTAAAATACTGTTTCCTCCTGCTCGAAAATAAGCGCTTTCTTTGTATCGAAATGCATATTTAAAATTCACGGACATCATATGTGAAATTTCTGACACATAACAAATTGAATTAGAAAATAGTGTTTTTAGCCCATATTTTCATTCTTCTGGGGGCCCATGGTCCGGAAGTAGATGGGCGTGACTTAGGCTCTCTATTACAAATGCTAGCACAGTAGCGTTAGCTGACACAGTCTTGGCAACCTCAACTGGCCATCGAGTCTCAAAAGGTGTAAAAGTGGATTTTGTCCTTCCTGGTTGGTCTACTATGGACTTCTCCCTGACTGTTGCTGTTTGAATCCTGACAAAATCTCATTCAAACCATCAAAACTCTTGGAAGATCCAGGTCCTTCATTTGTAAAAAAATGAAAGGATGAATGCCACAAATTTTAGACATAATGGACTACTGTGAAGGGATTCAAAGCAAAAATCAAGGAGAGAAGGCTGGAAGAGACTCTCAAAGAGAGGTCAGCCAGCTGAATAAAAGCGGTAGAGTACACAAACTCTATTATAGAAGAAGCTGGAAACCTTTGCAGCTGACTGTAAATCCTTGTTGAATATGGTTAAAGCCAAAATCACGATAAAAACTTCTGGGGGAACCCTCCTGGCTCTAAGTAAAAACAAGGTAACTGCTTTATTATATTATCTGTTTGAATGAACTCAAACCATATTTACTGTTTAAAAGAACTTACAACACTGCTGACGCAGGTTAAGCTGACATCTCCAGTCCCATCATTCACTCCAAACCAAACATTTAAAACACAACGTGCTGCAAAGTGATGCTAAGCATCAGATTACAGAGGATAAATACAACTGTATTGTTTATTAAAGTCACATCAGCGTGTTACTTTTAATCAGCGGCTCTCCCTGTTAGCAGGGATAGAAACACACAAATGAGCTCAGGGACAGAAACTTAGCAATAACCGGGGCTTCTCGTTTTTGGGAGGACAAATAGTCTGTCGCTTTCTCTCTGCTCCAAATAGGAAAAGTGCTGCTTGATGTCTGCAGCAGGAAATACACGGATTCGACATAAACACCAATAATCTTCCTGGAATTAAGAGAAAAACATCTAAACATATATCCACTTTAAATTTTATAGTTTGAAATTATTGTTTTATTTTTCATCTGTCCCAGCAAATGAACATAGAAAGCAGAGTAGCTGGGCCTTTTTTATTTAAAGTGGGGGGACTGTTTTTATGGTTGCTGCCAAGTTTGCCTTCAGCAATATTTAAAGAAAACATCTGTCCCAGCATTCACACCAGCCTCGCCGCCAGCTTCTCCCAGCAGCTCTACAAACAGCTACACTTACGGTACAATATGCTGTACTGATGGCTTGATCACAAAAACAATAAAGGAAAAGCAAAAACATCAACTCGTTTCCAAAATATAAATGGCATTGTTTATTATTCATACTGTCACAAAAAACGTTTGCAGCTAGGACCGCAAATCAAACAAAACAAACACATTTCCTTCCTGTGTTTTCACATTTTGTCTCGTTTTCATCATTGAATATTAAAGGGACTATAAGGAAGTTTGACAGCCAAAACATGTATAGAAATAATAAATTTCTTCTTCATACATTCTCCTGCAATGCCCTGGTCCTGTAGAATGAGCCCTGGCATTTTTACTGTGATTGCCTGTTTTTCTGTAAAATCACAGAAAAAGAGAGCTGCTCGAGTCGAATAGGCTGCTTCATGCGCGTTCACGCTCAGGCATAGCCCGTAGCATTTGCTATCAGTACCTTTAGCAGCAGAGAGAGAGGCAGTGCCAACTCAGCGACTTTGTTGCTGTTCCTAACGCCTAGTGACAAATCTAGCTATATTTCTGAGGACCCTTAGCTACTTTCTGTAGAACTTTCTTCTAGACATTTCCTGCAAATTAGCAACAAAATAGCCATCTTCGCTCCGAACTGTTCTTTGGATTGACGTTGTTTCAGCTGTCATCAAGGATATAAATGTTACAGATACATTGGATGCCACTGGCACTTTAGCTCATCTAATAAGATGTCTGACTTTCATGCAGACGACCTGCGTTCAAGGATGTGAACTTAATTTTTTAACTGGAGTTTCTTTTTTAAATTAATGACATATTTTTTTACAGTAATAAGACGCCCACATTTTTATTTGAGACTCGCCAAACGGCATTGAATTCACAGATAAAAAAGATGTGGGACCAACTTTCATTTTGGAAACATTTTTCAAGCACGGGAGAGGAATGATTTGAGCATGCAGGAGGAATGACCCATCATAAACCTTTGTCGGCTGTGCTGAAGAGAAAGGTACAGAACCAAATTATTTAATTAATTAGCTACGTGTTCTCCTGTTCTCCTGTCCTCTGTCCTCCGGGCCACACACACACACACACACACGCACACTGCACGTTCGGCTGGCCGACGAGAACATGCAGCTGCAGAGACAGAGGCACATTATTTTTATTAATTTGCTGTGTTCTTCTGTCCTCCGGGCCACACACACATACACACACACACACGGATTGTCTCAGCTGTTATTTTCATTAAGGAGTGTGCATGTACAGCATGCACACCTCATGCATGAGCTTACTTTTGAAGCTGCAGTTACGCGTTGGCCTGAGTGGCGATCGCGAGCATAAAAACTTCAAACTTCCTTACAGTCCCTTTAATATAAATTTGTTGGCATAACTCATCAACATCCTGCTACCTTTAAACTATCCCTACAGGCTGGTTTTAATGAGTGACTTGTTTCAATAATAGTCCAGTTTTAAGATTA